GTTGTTTAGGGTTTTTGTTTGTTTTTTAAAGATGGAAAAGGTCAGTGAAACTACAAATACCTATTTTCAAACAGCCAAGACAGCAAAATAAGAATTTTATCTCACCTAAATATATGTCACTTCAGTTGTCTCAGTGTTCGCCTAATAGTGGAATTCAGGGATATTTTATCATTTCAAGTGCGCTGTCTCAGCCCGTGCAGTTCTGCTTGCTCAGTAGGACACTACTCAGACAGGGAATCAAGGCTTCAGTGAAACTAAATGCACTGCAGCACTTATGAGTTGTTATTTGGGGAAAACCCAAATAAATTTAATTGTTATATTGCCAGCAACCCCAGCAAATACAACGTTCGAGAACAGGAAAGCAATGAAGCGTTTTGCTTGCACAAGAACGAGTTTAAATTAATCCTGAAGCTAAAAGCTTTCCCTTTCAAAGGGTGCTCAGGTGCCCCTCGGCGTTTCAAAACCTGAGTGACTGACTTGGTATCTTAAGATTTTTCGAAAGGGCTGTTAAGCCTGGAGAGAGATTTTTGAGAGTGGTTTAGGTTCATCACAACCACTAAGAAACAGTTTTGTTTTAATTGAAACCGAGCAGACTTTTCTCCCATTTACAGATTTTTACAAAAATATTTTTTCCCCTAACTCTTATTCCCATAGTTGAATTCTAGCCTACATTTCTACAAATTCTTACTGACAGGAAAAAAAAAAAAAAAAAAGAGAAAAAAAAAGGAAAAAGGACCAAGTCCAGCAGCAGCTGTCTGAAAACAGTCAGAAACTGTAACAGGAGAGTACTATCATAGGATAATGTAAATCTTACCTGCCTACTCAAGCTATTACATCACCAACCTATGCTTTATTCCTGTTAGGTCAGCAAGATACATGCAAGTCACAGCCCAGAACTGACACTATACAGTCATCAGCTCAGATTCTGGTGCCAACAGTTCAGAGGAAGGAAGGGATTTTTCCCTCCTCCATGGACTGTGCTGAAGGAATACGCACAATTTAGCTTCTTTGTGTTAAAAGATCATACCAGAGACCTTTCGCAAACCATTAGTAGTCCAGTGCACAGCTTTAAAAAAATTTATAGTTACTTCTTGATTTTCAGAAGTGCAAAAGCAGAATGGGGAAATCAAATCCTATCAGTTTTCCAGTGAGGTCTGAGGCCTAATAGCTACAAGCCTTTTGAAAATTCAGTCTTAAAGGCAGAAGCTCAGTACACCTCAACTCCTGCAGTCTTCATCATGAGAACTTAAACCAGAGTCAATTGCTGCACTGTCTGTAGTTCTATGGTTGAAAGAACCATTAAAATCAGAGTTGTGCTCTTTCCTCTAAATGTTACACCATAAGAAAAAAAAAAAACCCAAACACCACCACAAAACAAATCCTCAAAGACTTGAAAAGCTGTGAGCCTAAAATGCTGTATACAAATCCTAACCAATCCTCCCTTCTCAACAGGGTGAACATCGAGAAGATGACAGTCGACACTGCATGCGGCTGCTGTAGGCCACTTCATGTTCTTAAGAAGGAATTCCAACTGCCATGCCAAGACCCAGACAGCCCTGGAAAATGGCTCGTTACAGAAATTATTGTATTTAGTGGCTGTGTTTGCAGCTTTGACAGTTGCATACACCAGCCAGACCTCCAGACAGCCTCAAATACCATTTTTTTTTAATTAAACACTGATCACAATTTAATATTTTCACAGTGACAGCCCATTGCTGGGAGTTCTCTCACATTGATTATACACCACAGCCTTGCAGTGAGGCTTCCTGAGCACTTACTGGGAATGTCACTGAAGTGAACTGGGAAATTATTCCTAATCAGGAGGAAGAGGAGAGGAGGTGCAGCAGAGGAAAAAAAAAGGAATGGGCAGGGTGGGGGTTGGGAAGAAAGACCATGTGGGAGACTGTCTGGCCTTGCTCAGGGTGATATTTAACCAAAAGCTAAAAACTGGCCTGTGTACTGTGCAATAGCAGAAATTTGACTTTCAAATAAAGCAGAAGGAATTGAATTTGCTAACTTGTTTCTCATTATTTTACCAGTTATTTTAACTAAAAATAGTCTATTAGGATCACTACAGTTGAACTAGGACTTGTGGGACAGCCCATTACTTCACTGGGAGGAGACAACTGAGGTGACCTGTTCCCTTTCCTCCGAAAGCAGACGCAGCACTTGTGCTTGTCATCCACACACAGCCACTGTCAGAAAGCAAGCTGCTACATGAACCAAAAACTAATTGTGAGGTTTCTACACACACCCTTAACGCGGTGGAGACGTTTCTAGAAACAATTAACCCAGACAGTGGATAGTAGTGGTAGAAATTCACAGGACATACTCTGCAAGGAATCACAGATAGTGTGTGTCTAACAGGACACGGGTAGTTCACTCAAGCAATTTCTACTTGCTGCTAGTAAAGTACTCTTTACTACTCTGCTTGCAACTCATTTAAGAAAAAAATGCACAAAAGCTCATGGTGCCCAGGTATTTTTTTTACTTTTAAGCAAGCATTAGAGAAGTATTAAGAATCTGAAGCATACATTTAAAGTGTGAGTGAGGTTATTTAGCAGTTCAGATACTCTTCCTTTACATCAACTTTTTCCAGGTCCTGCCTGTGTGCAATACAGGTGTGTGCTTCCCGGCCTCAACCATACCCCACTGTCTCACCAGAGTACTGCAGCATGTACTGTTAGTATACTCAATGTTGTTAAACACCACAGGAAGAAAGATCTTACATCGAGTGTTCTTACAGCAAAGTCCTTGCAACACGTGACCAAACACACCAACAAAAAAAGCCAGGAACAGACTCAGTGGAGGAACAGAGATCCGCAGGCCAGGTGAGACAGCTGAATGCAACCCACCAGCAGTCTGCAGGAGAGAATTTATCCTTACACATCAACTGTTGTTCCGTAACAACCATTCACACTTCCGTGCCCCCAGACAAAAAAGGACAGTTTGATTACTGTTCTAATCATTTATTTCATCTTGATACATTTCTGATGAATATAGTCTAATATATAGTCTTCTATATGAAAATTCTCCACTTAATTTGACAGAACTTTGTTTTATACAAATAAGACAATCACCATACATGTTACATACTGGAGTGTAGGTCAAGAATGAACATACGCTACCTGTTTTGCTATTCAGTTATTTTCACATGTCAATGCCTGGAAATACTGTACTTAAAAACAATAACACTGTTTACTGCAGAAATCACTTTGTCTGCTTGACAGGATACATCACTTTGGTAAGTTAACCATCATTCACAAAAAAAAATAAATCAAGTATTTGTCCCTAATTTGTTCACTTTTCTGCTCATGGTTTCATTGAGCTGACATTTAATACGAAGTGTGAACAGTCAGAAGCGTAACACGGTCACCACTGTAAAGACACTTCCCCTTACCCCCCCTCCTTCCCACATTTTAACACATGTTTTAGCACAGCTTGAGTCAAAGCGAAGTGAACGGAAGTAGTGCAGTGCGTCTCAAGGTGTCCTTTAACGAGGGCACAGAACATTTTCAGAGGGACTGATGTACAACGTGATTTGGAAAAAATGAAACTGAAGCTCCTCCCCTGTCTTTGCTAAGACTCCCTTTAGTTCAAGACATCAGATTTTCAACATCTTAACCATGCTGTTGGCTGCTGCAACAGGACTAATAGAGACACATATGACATCCGAAGAACAAAACATAAGGTAGCCCATTAGTGTTTTGCCAACTGCCCAGCCTGACTGCAGGAACTGCTCATGGAGCTTTCAAAGACAATAGCTGTGATCCAAGAGTCTTGTTTAGCTACTTGAAAGGACATACAAGGGCCAACTCTTCAAGAGAACTTTTACAGAATAAAAGACCAGGTCTATAGCTAAGTTTTCAATCATAACATCCATAGTTACCAGCCATTTCTGGAAAAAGAAAACAAGTATCTCCCAAAATCCATGCACCACAGCCAAACCTTTGCTCCTCATTTTTCACTTGCACTCAAGTACAATCACTAGCCTTCAACCAAACCAAATTTTTATCACCTGGTTCCATCATCTAACTCAAGAGCACTGAAGGAAAAAAGCAAGGCACACTCCATCATGTAGAATCCTGTCCCCTGTTGTGCACTGGGCAGCATGACAGGAGCCTCATTTAAATGTATTTCCAACGTCACCACTATCACTCAAAGCCTTTGTTTCATGGGCATACTTGGCTGTATGTGTTGGAAAACCTGTTCCAGGCTTCCTTTAAACAACCTTGAGGGAATCTTGATCTGAGGTTCACTTCTCCTGTCAGCAGCAGCCGACCTTGTTCATCATGATCTGTGGTACTTGCTGACAACAATTCCTAACTGCACTACCTCACCTGCTTTGGTTTAGCAGCTTTTGTTACCTCTCAAGGCTTGAAGAGTTGGAGCCAAAATTGTGTCCACTTACTTTTGCAGAGAGGCTGCAAAGAGTTTGCTGATGTGGAACAAGTTACAAAGGCTTCAGTTGCAAAAACCATATAAAAGCTGAATGTTCTGGGGCCTTCTACTCTCAGTCTCAATACAAGTCTTCTACACCATGTTGAATATTTTTACTACCACTGACAGATGGGAAACTGTTCTGATACCAGTTATTCAACTTTGAGTTTTAATATTACTGTACGCTCTGGAAAAAATATTTATTTAAAATTGTATTTTCATCTAAAAGTGTGCATGCCTTAGCCCTTCAAGGGCCCACTTCTCTCTTCTCCTTTTATATAACACCAGACTCTGCAGTTAACTATAAAACATCATTGGGACTATTACTTGCTAAGTCTGATGAGAAACAGAAAAAACCCACAATATTGAACTTCGGTTTGACTAACAATGTATGCATTCACCACCTACCAGAGAAACTCTCCTCATTATTTGAGATAAGCAGAAGGATTAAGAATAGCTTTTGTGTTCAATCCACTTTCCAAAGATAGAAAACATTTAAGATGTAAAGGATTACAAGATTAATGCTTTAAGACTCTGGTTCTGTGGCATTTGTCAAATACAAAGACCGGAGACATTCAAAATGTTCCTTGAACCAGGTTCAAAAACCATCTTGGAATCCGCCCTTCCATCCAGCACAAGACTTGTGGCAACGTTCAACTTGACAAAATTCTGACTCTACATTAACATCTCGATTAACCTTGCTGAGCAGCATCACACTGGATTCCTTCAGCTCAGAGCAGAGGGAGTACCTGCTAAAGGCACTAGGGCAGAATGCCACTAGCCATTTCCAGTTGAAAACCATGGTTACCACATGTAAATCCACTTCCCCTTTAACAAGTTCAGAAGCCTGACCTCAAAGGAGCACGAGACGGCCCTCGCACCCACTGTGTAATACACTAAAAGCCATTTTTAATGTCAAAAGTCACTTCCCTGTACTGTACATTTTATAGTCTTAATTTCAAACGAGGGTCAAGTCCTGTTAAGGCAGGGAGCTGGTATTGGTTAACATTGCAGTACTCAGACAGTGATGTACAAGACATTTATTTGCAGTATGATGACAGTGATATAAATGGAAAAAAAACAAAAATGACATGGTTAATATTAGAACTGTTCTGACAGCAATTCACATAATCTCTGAGATACAGCTTCTTTACTTGTTCGTAGTGTGAGCCTATACATCTGAAAAAGAACACAAAATATTATTTATTTTTTAAACACAGTTTGGTATTAAACAAATGCACAGTCAATTTGTGAAAGCTACTAGTTACCTCTTATTCATTTTGTTAGATTTGGTAGGAAAAAACCCTCAAGATAAAACATTCAGAGACAGACAGCCACTGAGCAGTACAGCTTTTTCAAACAATAGGCTGGAGTACATCTTCAAACCCTTGTTGAGAGTTACCATTGTTCCAATATTTTTTAGGCTTTAACAGCAAGGTGTTATCCAAAATTTTTCTTTACAAGTAAGTGTTGTGGAAAAGTCTAAAGCCTCTCTATCACCGCTTCTTCACAAAACAGGGGACTTACCACCCAAAACTTATTTTTAGTCTTCAGTTAACTTTGACAAATTCTCTACCAAAGTGCTGGAGGAAAAATATTCTTAACATTGTGTTCGTTTGCTTATGTTTTCTCTTTTAGCCAATCATTCATTTATTAATTTAAAATGGCAAAGGGAATTATACTTAATCCTGTTCAAGGTGCACAAAACAGAAACATTAAATGTTTCCACCCTTCAAGAGAACATGAGACTCCACCAACAGTCTGGAATAATACAATGATCTCTTCCAACAGGAAAGAGAATTGCTATGAAGAAGCAGCTTTCCAAACTGGGCCAGGACCAGTTGCTACAATTTCATTTCTTGTTGGGAGTCTGCAGTCACAATTAGCTGTCGCTAATAAAATAGTGATTTTAAACCACTACCGTAGGATTTTCAGATATACACACATATTCAGTGCAAACAAGAACTCATATTTAAGCTGTAGATACTTAAACAGATACCTGTGCCTGGAGGTTGGGTTCAAGGCGCAGCAAGCATCCAATCTGAGTAGTTTTTGTATGTATGATACCAGCACCAACAAAGTTAGCAGGATTGGGATCTACCTCCTCAAGTAGGGCTGATCCAAAGCCAATTATCTGTGAAAGAAACTCAGAAAATTTAGATGTGGGGACAGCAGGACACCAATACCAACTCCGACCAAGCACAGCCACCACCAACTAGCAAAAAAAAAGAAAATCAAGAGATTAATTTTTATTTGAAGTGTTCAAGACATTAAAGAATTATCCAATACCAATTTTATTACAACAACTTTGAAATGACAGAGTGACACTGATAATGAGCTGGAAAAAAAGTTCTCAAAAACAATTGAGAAATAAGTCACACTCAATTTAAGTCCCTCCTGTTTTGGATAAAGCCATTCCTGTCTTAAAGTAGTAACTTCCGTTTTGCCTTAGGCAGCCAGTTCTACAAAAAGTCATTTGTTTTCTTTTCTAACGACTATCTCTAGTATAAATTACGACTTGAAGTATCTTCCAGTTCAGTTCTAAGCACTGAACTGTTGTTTTCTTAAAGAGCTTCAAGTTTCCAGCTGCTATTGAAGACTATCTAATTCAAGTCACCCTGAGAATCAGTCCAGTCACCCCAGCACTGCCGAGAGTCCGTTACACAGCACTGAGTTACACCAACAGGATGATCCAACTGCCCTGTAAACCAGGATGAACAAAGTTTGCTCATACCACTGCCCTTGCACTATGAAAAATACCACACTACCACCCACCTTTGCTTTTGTGATCTCTGCATCCATCGGGTGTTTTGCTTTAAAGATATTCTGTACTTCTTGTTTCGGACTGCAAGACAAAGCAAGATGAATTCACAGTACAACACATGTAGTATGTACAGCATCACTCAATAGCAACTACTTATAACAGCAGAGTTTATAACTCACAGGATTAAGTACGGGATGGAGCACTGCACCAGCTCCATTCACAATCCACCATTTTTTCCCCTTTGTTTCACCACAAGAGCCCCAAGCCCGAGTCTAGACAAAGTCTTACTTGCTCAGTTGCTTCCAGCGCTGAAAAAAGTCTTGAGAAGACATCTCTGTCGGCTGGAAAAATTTATTCAGTGTGATGGGTAATTTTACAGAAAGATTTTGAAATGTTCCACCATATCTGCACATGGAATAGAAAGAACATGGTGTATGCAGCACAGTGTCAGCAGTCCCTCAGCCTAAGTCAACCAAGCAATTGAGGGTGAACACTAAGGTGCAACTGTTCACGATTAAAATCCATCTCATGCAGATAATGTTATTTCTAAGATAGAGTTTTAATCCACTGTTAAATAAATATTTGCTCTGTTAGACGGGCACATGAAAGTGAATTAGCAGAACTTCTAATAAGGATCTCTCCATTTCAACATAGGTTGTTATCCTTCTAGATAGCACCTACTAAGGAGTGAAAACACATCCCTGTGAAAACGTTATCAGTGAGAATCCATTTAGACTAGAGCAACAGAATATAGCCCAGAAATCAGGATTTCCGAAAGGCCAATGCTGAATGGACATAATGAGATTCTATTTTTCGCTGCATGCATTTCCAATCCCAGTTGTTTGCAGAAACATTCTTGGTTTCCAGAGAGAAAAGTTACTCCGTATATTCCTGTCAAGATTTCTTAAGCAAGCAGGAAGACTGCTGTTTTATACGGATAGCAGAAAGAGACGTCATGGAGATGTTTTATTAGTAGCTACTTCTTGATTAGTTTTGTGTTGTTTTTTTTCAAGCAGCTTGTTGCAAGGGGATTCCCTACCTCCCCCAGTAGCTTAAAGCTTTATTAGATCAATTTTTCAAGTAAGTTGTCTACCCAAGACAGTTTTATGTGTCCATATTCTACACTTCAGTCAGAGGACCAGGACAAATTAAACATCTTCCATCTAGTTAATTTACTAGCATTCACATCCTGTGTTTTACCTGAATTGAATGTTCAGGATTGGAGCTTCCATAAAGTCTGACACACATTCAATGTTCACAACCTGTTGAACCTGGGCACCTCCATCCACTGTGGGGTCAACAGGTTTTGTCTGAAGATTCAGGCATAAGAAGTCATTAAGGAAACTGATAAATTAATTGCTAACTTAGGATAAAGCAAATCCTCCAATAAGCTACACAAGGAATTAGCATCACGTCCACTCATTCTTCTACATGCTACTGAATATTCAAAGCTGAATTCCTGTACAGCAAAAAGGTTGGTTTGTTTTTGGTTTCTTGTTTGTTCCACACCCCTCTCCCCCCCCC